ATCAAGATCATCCCCAAGAAAAAGAAATACAAAAAGGCAAAATGGTTGTCTGAGGACGCCTTAGAAATAGATATGAAAAGAAGAGAAGCAAAAGGCAAAGGAGAAAAGGAAAGATAAATTCATTTCAGCCCACTTCCCAAATCCATATTTCAAAGTCCCCCTGGTCAGAATCTAAAATCATGGTCCACAGACATGTGATACTAAGCCTTTCTCTTCATAAGGCTTTCCCAAGTCATGGTCATTTTAGGCTCCCTCTCTTGACTTTTCCATCATCCAGACTAGAACTTCTGGAGTCATCTCTGGTTCTTACTCACCCTTCATTCCTTCCCTTTCATCTCTTCAGTTTAATTAATTATCTTTCTTAAATTAGGTGCTCAGTGTGACATGACCTTACTTCTAAAATAATATTCTTTCTCAACTTTTAAAATAGCTTTCTTTCTAGGTGTTTTGACTTAACTTCTCCTTACATTAATCCTGGCTTCCCACTGCGATGTGAATTACTTTTCAAAAACACACTGTGGAGTGGTAACTGGAAAGTAGAGATGTGTATTCGAGTCTTGAATACATTACTGGGCAACTCTGAGCAAGTTCCCTGCTCTCTCCTATTCTCTTTCTCTGCTGATGTTTTATCTACATTACAGAGTCACTGTGAGTATTAATTAAGGTTACAATTATGAAAGTGTTTTGTAAATGACAAAGTTTTACATAAATACAAATAGAAGGTGACATTTTTACCTAGCAGCCAATTAACTTTCCTGGCAGTGTTGGTCCCTAGCAATTAGAACACTCAATTAGGCACTGTTCAAGTTCAATGTGGCACCTAAAATGGGGCAAGAAAAGCTTTGAAATGTGTTAAATATAACACTGCTTGTTAAATTGAAATGAAGTGAAAGAAGGGATTCTGACTTTCATTTCTCCCTGAATGTTTGAAGGCAGGAAAACTGGAGGTTTAGTAGCTTAGTCGTGTCCAACTCTGTGATCCCATGGACTGCCGCCCACCAGGCTCCTTTGTCAATAGGATTCTCTAGGCAAGAATACTGGAGTGGGTTGTCATTTCCTTCTCCAGGAGATCCTCCCAAACCAGGGATTGAATCCATGTCACCTACACTGGCAGGCAGATTCTTTATCACTGAGCCAGCAGTGAAGCCCCAAGCAAAACTGTGCTTCTTGTTAATGTATTTTAGAACTTAAGTCTCAGGCATTATTAATGATTAATGCTATTTGTATTGATTTTTGAGGTTTTTAAAAAAATGTTTCCAATCATATGATACAATATAAGTGAAGGAAGGAAAAAAGCAAAAAAAAGATATGATTGAAAAATAGTATTGCTTCTAATGTCATCTAAACACACACACACATTCACAGCCACACACTCACTCACACATACACTACTCTATTCAGTGTTAGAGAAGAACCTCTGGGACAGAAGATAAAAATGGTTTGGTTTACAGTTTGCAGCATTATTAGTGGAAACAAGTGGGCCCACTTCCAAAGGAAGCCAACTTTTTAGGTATCATATTTGCTCCTCTAAAATTATCTGAATATACCCAGGTTGGATGCATGAGACAAGTGCTCAGGCCTGGTGCACTGGGAAGACCCAGAGGGATGGGGTGGAGAGAGAGGTGGGAGGGGGGACTGGGATGGGGAATTCATGTAAATCCATGGCTAATTCATTTCAATGTATGACAAAAACTACTGTAATGATGTAAAGTAATTAGCCTCCAACTAATAAAAATAAATGAAAAAAAATAAAAAAATAAAATTATCTGAATATAATAATATTCATCATGCAGTTTAACTGCAAAGGTAATGGAGTTGTATATACATGAATAAAATGAGAAAGACTCTTCCAGTCCTGATCCACAGGGAGAGTCAGAAACCTCAGTCTGTTCCTGTAACTCAGTCGATTCCTTATTTCTCTCTTATCGTAACTCATCATAATTGAAAATAGCAAAGGTTACTAGTTTTCAAAAGCTTTGATGGACGACAAACCTGACCACTGGAGTGTGATTTAATTTACATATTTCATTTCAAAACATTTTAAAATTCCTATTTAAATGCTCAGAAGTTAATTTGGTTACAACCTTTCCACTGACATCTGAAGAAAGGCTAAAATCATTCATTTATTAACTGCTACCAAATGCTGAAAGTCAGATATCATCTTAAGCAAGAAAAGCAAGTGGTAACTTGAATTATTTTAAATATCTTTGCGAGAGGGCAATGCATGTGAATATGACTACCTCTAAGAAGTATGCCCTGCTGCTGCTGCTGCTAAGTTGCTTCAGTCATAGGTTGACATAAAAGAAACCAGAATTTGTTATTTTTTCCCTGGGAAGCGCTAAGAGGTATAAGCAGGCTTAACTCTGTCCACTCAGCCTGCAAGTCCCTCTTTCAGGATCTATCATTTTATTTGTCTACACAAAAATAAAATTCAATAAAAGTAAGTGGGATATACTGTAGTATTAATAGATGAAATTATATTTAGTTTAGACATTGCTCCCTGAAATATAAGAAAGCATGTTTTGAAGCAATAATAAACAAAAAGTATGAAGGCAAGAGGAAGAAGAGGTGGCAGAGAATGAGATGGTTAGATAGCATCACCTACTCACTGAACATGAATTTGACCAAACTCAAGAAGATGGTGAAAGACAGGGAAGTCTGGCATGCTGCAGTCCAAGATGTCCCAAAGAGTCATACATGGCTTAGTGGCTGAACAACAAGAACACATACTCTCTCCTCTGCCCAGCGTGTTCATGCTACATGTTCTGTCACTCAGTCATACCCGACTCTTTGCAACCCTCTAGACTATAACCCTCCAGGCTCCTCTGTCCATTGGATTCTCCAGGAAAGAATACTGGAGTGAGTCGCCATTTCCTCCTCCAGGGGATCTTCCTAATCCAGGGACTGAACCTGCATCTCCTGCATCTCCTGGACTGGCAGGCAGGTTCTTTACCACTGAGCCATCTGGGAAGTCCCCTTTGCCCAGAAGTGTGCACAAAATGTTAACTTAGGATGAATGAACACCAGTGGGATACAGATTTCTTTAGCAAGTTTTGTATTCCTAGCATCTTGGTAAACCCATTGTTTAAAGTCTTTCTAATAAAATTTCTGTTAGTGTGTGATATTTTCCTATGGCAGGGTCCATGGACACATCTACTTCGTCATCTACTCTGCTATCATTAGAGCCAGCCAGGAATGACTCTGGCGTTGATCATTTGGCTGTGGTAAGTTTCACAGAGTCCCCTGAAGTGCAAGGAGATCAAACCAGTCAATCCTAAAGGAAATCAACTCTGAAAACTCACTGAAAGATGCTTAAGTTGAAGCTCCAATAATTTGGCCACCTGATGTGAACAGCCAACTCATTGGAAAAGACCTGCATGCTGGGAAAGACTGAAGACAGGAGGAGAAGGAGGACTGAGAATGAAACAGTTGGATGGCATCACCAACTCAATGGACGTGAGTCTGAGCAAACTCCAGGAGATGGTGAAGGCAGGGAGACCTGGCGTGCTGTAGTCCATGTGGTCACAAAGAGTCAAACAAGACTGAATGACTGAACAACAACAAAGTTTGATAGATGTCTTTGGTTTTACATCATCTTTATCGGGAGGGCATCCTGCTTCTTGTCTCCCTGATCTGATTGTCACAGCTCACAGCCTTCTTCTATCTGGCCCGCCCCTGCATCCTCCCTATCAACATTCTTTGCTTGGCTTCTTTTTATCCCTGGGGTTGGTTTCTTCTGGGGAAAATTCTTAGCCATCAGATGGGACTTATTTTCTAAGGTATTGACCTGCTGGACATAGAGTAGATATTTCATTTATCATGGGTCAAGAAATAAATCACAAAATGAAGTTTCCTTCTGCTATGACCAATCTGGCTTGCCAAGAATTTATAACAATTTGAGAAAACTCTTAAGATATTCAGTGGTTTAAAAATTCAAAATTATTCATGTGCAGGTGTATGTACATGTATTAATATAAATATGTGACACTGTTATTTTTATTCAATCTCCAAGTCACATTTGAATCTTTGTGAACTCTATGGACTGTAATTCACCAGGCTCCTCTGTCCATGGGATTCTCCAGGGAAGAATACTGAAGTGGGCTGCCATTTCCTTCTCCAGGGGATCTTCCTGGACCAAGGATCAAACCCAGGTCTCCTGCATTGGCAGGTAGATTATTTACCACTGAGCCACAAGGGAAGCCATATATTGCATAACAGATACCAAATAATACATTACATTATATGAGAGTGCATGTGTGTATGAGAATTTATAGGCATCCCTAAACAGATAAACTAACAGGATTTGTGAAAAAAGATGGTTGGGGAGGACTACAGAAAACCTATGAAGTTTTGCAACCAAGACACTAAAAGACAGTTGTTGGTACTAGGGAGGTAACTGAGCAGCTCAGACATACAGCTTAGCTGCATGACAAGGAGGCTGGTGTTGAGTTGCATGATCACCAAAATTCATCCTGATGGTTAGATTCCATGACTGTCCATATCATGATGTCATGATGTAAAGAAAATATAAAAGTCTAGAAAACTTTCTGTGGAGTTGTCCATTCATTTCATTCCTATGTTTTTGCTTTGACCCATTCATTTATTTTGTGTGAAGTCTTTACCCATTATACAAAATCTCTTCCAGTTGAATTCTAAAAGAACTTGCTTTTAGGAGATTGTAGAAAAACAAAGCTAAGTGTTTTAAAATGATTTGTCAGACACCTAGATGACCAAATTAATGATGTGGTTTTTTTTTCTATGATATTATAAAAACGCACATCCTCTGGAAAACCAAGCCAAAAATTCATGTGGAAAGAAGACTATGTTAACCATCAGTGTGGTGAGGATGCAATGGTGAAGAGAACAGAACATTTAATACACTTTATCATTCCTCATTCTGAATATGCAGGTTTTCAGATTATTTCATTCTTAGTGGTTGTCCGGTGAAACAGATAACTTAGCAATGGTGACTTGGGTGGGGACAGAGGGCACAGCCTTACCTTTGACCGTCACATGGACACTCTGGCTGGTGGAGAGTTGGGGCTGGACCAGCACGTTGCAGGTGTACTCCCCCTCATCAACTTCCTTCTGCACATCTGAGAGTTTTAGGGTTCCATTATTCTCAAATGCCACTTGGCGGTGGTTGAAAGGAAGCAGATTTGAGTTCTTGTACCATTTGATGGAGTAATACGGATAGCCAATCACACGACAGTGAATGTATGTGTCCCGTCCCGCTATTGCTGTGATATTTTTCATTGGTCGAATGCTTGCAGGCCCTGGAGAGACACAGAGAAACTCTTGAAAATAATTTAAGGGTACATTTTATGTGTGGAAATGAGTACACTTTTCCTTGAGTTTAAAAATGTACTTGTTTGCATGTAAGGACATATTTATCAATTCAGCAATTTTTTTCTGCATTTGGCACTTTCCACTAAGGTTTTTTTTCTTTTCCTTTTCATTTCATTGCTTTCAAATAAATTGAAAGAGTGCTAATTATCAATTACTTCTATAAAAACATTTTGAATTATAGGCTAAAAGGCAATTTATCAATACAAAGTAACAAGCTGCACTGAACAATCATATTCAGCTGGTGAAACACTGGTAGCCATTCAACTGTTTAACTCTCTCTCTGTAAAACAGATTGTGAGGATGGAGGTTATGCCATGTTGCATTATGAATGTAAGGTAAGTACCATGTACATGAAGGTTTACCATGAATGTGGTAGAACAGAAGAGGAGGAAGGAGAGAGCATGCAAGCATAAACCAGGAAAAGAAAGCTCCAGAGGACAAGTCTAAGAGTAAAACAAGAGAACAAGCTGACTAAGGAAACCAAAATGCCATTTCCAACAGTGACCCAGTCACTGCCATTCCTCAGCGGGAAGCGAGAGGGCAGGAAACAACGAAGCGACATTAATTCGGTCTGGCATTCCAAGACTGGGCTCGGTGCATGCAGACACCTCCTTCTCCGCTACAATGAGTCATGTGTGTTTTTTGAGGAGTTGATTCGACAAGCACCTCTTACGTTTATTCGAGCCTGGTAGAGGACGACGCCCGCCGAGTTGTTGGCCGTGCAGCGGTACACGCCCCCGTCGCGGACCTGAGAGCTGGAGATGTTCAGGTAGCTGACCACGTTGCCTTCCGACGTGATCATCTGGCTGACGCGGTGGCTGCCGCCCTTGAGGATGGGGTCATCGTCCAGGGTCCACGTGATCGTGGGCAGCGGCGTTCCCTTCACGTTGCACATCAGGGAGACGGCCTCTGCCGGACTCACCACTTTCTCACTAAAGGCGGAAATGATTTTGGGAGTTCCATCTGCAGGAAGACAAATCACGCAGGGAAGTGGCACATATGCATAATTAACAGACTTCCGAGTATGTCTATTGGATGATTAGAGAGTGGGTGGAGTGGCTATCAAATGCCCCTCAAAAGGCTGGTTTTATTGATAAAGCTAAGTTCCACTTAGGACAACATATCAGTTTCAAGATAAGTAAATGCAGCCTTAGCTAGCTTTAATCTCTCTCTCCTCTATTTCTTGATTGTCATAATCATGCAACTCAGATGTTCATGATAAAGAATGTCATCTCCCAAGAAGTTTATCATTCAAAACTATTATGTCCCCACCCAAAGTTGTAAACAGGAAATTCACACACCTCCATGGCTAATTTAGCTTTCTACTTCCTCCAAGTTAATTAGGGACTGCTCAATGGGGAACTGTTTAGAGGAAGAAAGAGCTCAGACATTGATTATCTCTCTGTCATTTTCTCATAAGGAATCATCTTTTATAGTTTTAATTAGAAATAATGATAACTGCATGTGAATTTTCATGAAGGCCCTGAGAATGGGTAAAAGCTAAATCAAGTCGGACCCTTTCAGTATTATTAAATGTCTCCATAAGTGTCTTTTCTTTCTTTTTTAAAAAAAAAATTATTTTACTGAAGCATAGTTGATTTGTTAGTTTCTGCTCTTCAGCAAAGTGATTCAGTTATACATACATATGTTCTTTTTCAGATTCTTTTCCATTGTGGCTTATCATAGGATACTGAGTATAGTTCCCTGTGCTATACAGTAGGACTTTGCTTATCCATCCTATTTGTTGTTGTCCAGGCGCTTAGTTATGTTCAACTCTTTGCCACCACCTGGAATGCAGCACACCAGGCTTTCCTGTCTTTCACCATCTCCCAGAGTTTCCTCAAACTCATGCCGATTGAATCCACCCTTTATGTACTGATAACAGTTTGTATCTGCTAATCCTGAACTCCCAATCCATCCCTCCCCAACTCTCCTTCCCTGTGGCAACCCCCAGTCTGTTCTCTATGTCTGTGAGTCTGTTCCTGCTTCATGGATACATTTATTTATGTTCTAGTTTAAATTCTGTATGTATTATAAGTAAGCTGGTCATCTAATTTATCTGGGATACTTCTGAGGATAAAATTGATACTAGGAGAACAGACACAACTCAAGACCATCCCAGGAAAACAAGGAGATTAATCTTAGGAATGTTTCCACAGAAATTTCCAATGTTTTTGATAATGATCAAATTTTCATATTCCATTATTTTTTAAAATCATGTATTAAAATATCTCCTTAATGTTATATACTATTGCTGTGCTGTGCTGAGTCGCTCAGTCTTGTATGACTCTTTGCAAGCCCATGGACTGTAGCCTGCCAGGCTCCCCTGTCCATGGGGATTCTCCAGGCAAGAATACTGGAGTAGGATGTCATGCCCTCCCCCAGGGGATATTCCCAGCCCAGGTATTGAACCCAGGTCTCCCACATTACAGGCAGCTTTTTTACCAGCTGAGCTGCCAGGGAAGCCCAAGTTATATGCTAGTAACAACAAATGCATTTTTTTTTAAATGTGTATTAGGCCTCCGTTAGAGAGATACAGGGCATCCCAGGTGGCACTAGTGGTAAAGAATCTGCTGCTAATGCAAGAGACACAGGTTCAATTCCTGGGTCGGGAAGATCCCCTGGAGGAGGAAATGGCAACACACTCCAGGATTCTTGCCTGGAAAATTCCATGGCCAGAGAAGCCTGGTGGCTATAGTCTATGGGGTCAAAAAGAGTCGGACACAACTATATGACTGAGCACACACACATTAGAAAGATACACACATATTAGAGAAAAATGTGTGAAAGTCAAAAGAATGGAAAGTTACCAATGGATCTCCCAGCTTCAGGTGTATAAATCAACATTGTGACACTTTATTTTCCAGGCATAGATATATCATTTTAACAGAACTATGATCACATGCAACTGGATTTCTGTGTCTAGTAATAAGCCTTGCTGGTAGAGATATTTTTTTTTAATTGGTGCAAATTTGAAAGATAATGATTAACAGATTCTTTTTTTTTTTTTACACNAACAGGGATCTAGAGTAGAGGGGTGTGATGGGGAGGGAAATGGGAGGAAGTTTCAAAAGGGAGGGGATGTATGTAGACCTATGGCTGATTCATGTTGAGGTTTGACAGAAAACAGCAAAATTCTGTAAAGCAATTATCCTTCAATAAAAAGTAAATAAATTTTAAAAAAACAGAAAAAAAAATCTAAACCTATCTTGCAATTCCATTACTGAAGGTAAGTGTTGCACCATCTTTTCATTTGAGAATTGCTGAATCTTAACTTCTTCATTCCAGCTCACATTTTGGGAGGCTGGAGAAGGCTTTCAAATATATTTTTTTCAGGGTCAGATTCTTAGATTATAAACATCTTTTTTTTACTATCAAAGATGACAAAAATAACTTCATAATATTAAAATGGAAAATCTGCACTTTAGCCCTGAGAAGTCTGCAGACATGACTTCAACGTGCTCTACATTTAATTTACAGAGAAGTTAGATGTCATTCTGATCATAATTCTTTGCTTATGACCAATTGTTGATGCTTGAGAATGTTGAGGTTATTTTATTTGACCTTACAACTCAACATATTTTGTCAGGATGTGTTTAGCTATAAATTTCTTTTCACTGATTTTTACACTAAGCATTGAACTCTCAAGTCTTATTTTAAAATCTATTTGGGAAAGCTTTCTTCACTTATGCTTTTATTTTTGTAGATAAAGTTTACCCACAGCTAAATGTATAGATCTTAAGAGTACCAACAGAATGAGTTTTGTTAAATAAATACACCTATGTAACCACAAAATGAAGAAGAAGATAAGAAGCATTTCTATCACCCCCTACTTGTTACTAGGGGTTCTTTCAAGCAGTCTCTACCCACCACATGCACTCTTCTGATTTCTATCACCATGCATTACTTCAGCCTGTTCTTGGCTTCAAACTCATGTTTGTGTGTGCCCTACATGTACTCTGTCATAACCAGAGTACAGTTAGTAAAATTAGGAGCTGCAACTTTGGAACTGTAATATTGTCTAGTGTAGAGTCTGATCATTGACCAGTTACGTCCCTTACAGCTATTTTTCCCCAGTCCAACCATTATCATACCTTACATTTATTTACAGTGTCTCATTAGTCTCTTTTAATCTGTTACATTCTTCAGTTTCTACTCAGCTTCTTGACTTTGACATTTTTGAAGAATTACTTTGTAGCTAGTTGTTCAAACCCAGTTTGATATTTCCTTGTGATTAGATACAGATTTTGCATTCTTTGACAAATGCTATGGAAGTACTATTGTTTTTCTGTGTGTTTATTGGCTGTTTGTGTATTTCCATTCATGAAATGTCTGTTCAAACCTTTTTTTCCATTTTTATGTTACACTATTTTTCTTTGGTATTGGTTGGTAGCAGATCTTTATGTCTACTGAATACATGTATATGTATAACATATACATACAAACCGAATATGATGAATATATATACATATATACAAATCAGTACAAATTTACTTTTACATGTATGTAGGTCAGATTACATCCCTCCTGTCTCAGACAGTAAAGAGTCTGCCTGTAATGAAGGAAACCCGAGTTCGATCCCTGGGTTGGGAAGATCCCTTGGAGAAGGAAATGGCAATCCACTCCAGTATTCTTGCCTGGAAAATCCTACGGGCAGAGGAGCCTGACAGGCTACAGAGTCCATGGGATCGCAAAGATTTGGACACAACTGAGCGACCAACACTTTCACTTTCAGGTCAGATTAAATTACACATAATGTTTGTCAGACATATGTATATATATATATATATAGTATACATTATATATAAATGTATGTACTAAATATTTTCTCTCATTTCATATTTGTCTTTTTATTTTCATTATATTACATTAATATGAGTGTGTATATGCAAATTTTATAGTTTTAATCAACTATGAGAAGTTAAAATTACAATTATTCGGGTAAAATGGAGGAAACTTGCAACAGATAATCTCAAAAATTTAATTTATATTCTGTCCTTTGTGTAATTTTATGTATGCTAAAAACTATAATACAATGATGTAATGTTATAATTTGTCAATTGCTATTTAGGAAAATTAAATGAGAAAACAATTTTGCTAAGTGGTTATTAACATATTTGTCATTTTTCATGTACTTTATTTCTATCTGAGTTTCCACTTCAGGTCATTTTCTTCATCATGAATGGTTTCATTTACTGTTTCTTAGCATGCAGGACTTCTGGCATCATGCTCTTCACAAGCTTTTGTTTATTGAAAATATCTTTATTTGGCTTGTTTGATCCCTGGGTTGGGAAGATCCCATGGAGAAGGAAATGGCAATCCACTCCAGTATTCTTGCCTGGAGAATCCTACGGGCAGAGGAGCCTGACAGGCTACAGAGTCCATGGGATCGCAAAGATTTGGACCAACACTTTCACTTTCAGGTCAGATTAAATTACACATAATGTTTGTCAGACATATGTATATATATAGTATACATTATATATAAACGTATGTACTAAATATTTTCTCTCATTTCATATTTGTCTTTTTATTTTCATTATATTACATTAATATGAGTGTGTATATGCAAACTTTATAGTTTTAATCAACTATGAGAAGTTAAAATTACAATTATTCAGGTAAAATGGAGGGAACTTGCAACAGATAATCTCAAAAATTTAATTTATATTCTGTCCTTTGTGTAATTTTATGTATGCTAAAAACTATAATACAATGATGTAATGCTATAATTTGTCAATTGCTATTTAGGAAAATTAAATGAGAAAACAATTTTGCTAAGTGGTTACTAACATATTTGTCATTTTTCATGTACTTTATTTCTATCTGAGTTTCCACTTCAGGTCATTTTCTTCATCATGAATGGTTTCATTTACTGTTTCTTAGCATGCAGGACTTCTGGCATCATGCTCTTCACAAGCTTTTGTTTATTGAAAATATCTTTATTTGGCTTTAACTTTTAAAGACTATTTTTGATAGATGTAGTCATGTATATTGATGGGGTTTAAAACAATAAATTAAAAAAATCATTTCAATCTCATTAAGACTGTGTGTGTGTGCTCAATCATGTCTAATTCTTTGCAACTCTATGGACCATAGCCTGCCAGGGTCCTCTGTCCATGGGATTCTCCAGGCAAGAATACGTAAGTGGGTTGCCATTTCCTTCTCCAGGGGATCTTCTCGGCCCAGGTATCGAACCCTTGTCTCTTCTGTCTCCTACTTTGGCAGGAAGATTCTTTACCACTAGCACTAGCTGTGAAACCCCATCCCATTAGCACTGGAAAATATCCTCAGGAGAAATGTGATATTTGTGTAGAAAATGACTGATATTTCCCCCTTCTTTCAAGGGTCAAATTCTTTCTGCCTGCTTTTGGGTATTTCCGCAGGGTCTATAAACTATTTTGCTTTCCCCAAAGTTCATTATTTTCATCTTATCGCAGGTTAGTCTGATACACACTACTCCATAATTTCCAGAAATAAGACCTGTTCTTCTTTATGATTCCATTTTCTAGGTGTTCTGGTCTGATCTTGAACCTATAATTATTTGTTCCAGTTTCTTTAAACTTCCTTTCCTGTTTCTTTGTCCTCATAGGAAATATTCCAAAATTCTACATTGTATCAGTGGCCATTCTTAGCTGATAGTATTGTGCGTTTTTATAATGTGTTAATCCATAGCTGTTACAGGATGTTACATCATTACAAGAGTCTAGTTAGACACCATCTTAAGGCAGTTACTGGGTATGTGTTTGTAATTCCATTTCTGCTCTCTTTGGCGACATTAGCACTGTCATATCTCAGATGAAAAAAATAAATAAATAAAGTGAAGCTTCTTGTCCTGAACAGAAACTGACAGGCAACAAATAAATCTGTGAGTGGGCTCAGTGGGGTCCTCTCACCCCTCTTTTTATTCAAGCGACAGGCTTTTTTGGAGATGAAAGCAGACATTATTTTCCCAGTGAGACTGGAGTGTCTTTGAAATCTTTCTTGCTGTCACTCTCTGATAACCTCACCTCTTTTGACATTATTATGGATTATCAATATGGTCCTTAGGTTTTCTTGGTCACACGAGGTGGTTGCCAAGGTAACAAAGCCTAGACAGGTAATCTCTCCCTTTTCTACAAAGAATCTAAAAATAGTGACTATGTGAGGACTACAGGGCATCACCATTAGTAAACTGGCTCTGTGCAAATTGATTACTTTCTACACTTAATTATTATGTGAAACACAGCATCAGGCTTTTAATATGAGTACCGTGCCTTCAGCTAATTTCACCTGTGCTTTAAAATGCTCACTGTCTTCAAGGAACTGCTTGAATAAAAATAAGAATGTCATCTTAAGCCTGTTTCTTCTTAAAAATTAACTAAGGTTAAAAAAGTAATAAGAGAAATAGCCTCTTAGCATCAAGAGATATTTAAACTTATTTTCATATTAAATGGATTTTCATTTCCCCTGCTTTAGGCTATATGAAAGTCATGTAGTTATTTTAATCAGTTGATAACAGATGAATTTTAAATTATATATAAAGGCACAATTTCCAACAAGATATGCAAATTTACAGATAAAAGCTAGTTCAATTATCTAGTGATAAACATGTCTCTTGCTTGAATGTGTCCTGGACAGTGTCTTTCCCTGGCTGATTGATAAGCTTGAAGATGTAAGTAAGCAGCAGGCAGTTAAAAAAGAGCTTAAAACTCATTATGATAACACAAGGCAATTCTTCAAAAATTTCATTCACCTAAATCTGTGACTCTCTGGACCCAAACTGGGATAATTCTACAACCGAGGTGCCATTTTTACACTCTACAAAACACTACATTGAAATGTTGCTCTAAGTGTTGCATCCAAGGTTGTGCTTATCAACTTTGAGGGGGGGGGCGGCTATTTTGCTCCCCCAAAGGACACTTTGTCATAACTGGAGGGATGCACTGCGAGGATTTAGCAGATAGAGGGGAGACTCCACTCAGTATCCTACAGCGCATACAGCAGCCCACCAAACCAACTGCCCCTGAGAAACCCTGATCAAGAGGACAATGGATCATCCACCAAACCATCAATCTCAAGTCTCTTTGGTCCATATCTTGACAAGTAACTTTAAACACTGAGTGAGAAACATTTATGTTACTTGACTTTATGTTAAACCATGTTACTTATGTTACTTCTACTAGAAATAATGTTCATTTCATCAGAAATTAATCTTTCATTTGCCCAACTGAGCTAGAAAACTAGAGGAGAGTTACTAGCTGATCAGATAGGAATCTTAAAACTGAGTTATGAGCTCTGCTTCACCCTTTGCTCTTGCTTTTGAGTGTTCTGGGTTTGGGTTCTTTTTTTCAGCTGAACCCTGTAACGAGGCCCACTGACCTTCAAGGACCACCTGCACAAAGTCTTGAGCGGACAGCCTGTCCTTGCGCACGAAGCACTGGTATGCTCCCCCGTCACTTCGGACCATGTGATCCATTATAAGGTTTTCGTGGTTGATCCCTGTGATCCTCACATTTTTTCCAGGGTTGAGTATTTCACCATTTCGGTACCAGGAGAGTTCCTGGTCCTCACTTCCAGTCACACTGCAGGACAAGGAAACCTGGCTGCCCACACTGCTTTTAACTTTCCTGGGGCTGATGGTAGCTTTCAGTGGCTCTGGAGTTTCGGGGAAGAGAAAAAAAGAAGGTAAAAACATCACACATGTAGAGAATATTTCAACATGATGGACTTTTGACAAGGCGAATGTATCTTCACAAGCATTTTTGGCCATTTGACAATATGTCAAGGTAGATTTTTCCCTCTTACAGAGCACTAAATAGTCAAAGATATTCAATTGAGCTGTTAAGTTAATGGGATTTATGTGAGTTAAACAGTCTTAATTTGGTACTTGTAAATAGCATTACATAGGCCTCCTACCTGTAATACTCCCCGAGTTAAGGCAGAGAGGGATTGAGAAAGAACATCTTTTTAACAGTTAGCTACTTTACCATGTAAATGACCATGTATACAGCTCTTCTGTTGAAATATTCAGTTGTGAGCTTCATGTTAAGACTGTTAGGTTTCTAATGCTTTTGTGTGGAATGATGTTGCAACAATTGTTAAAAAGGAAACTTAAAAACAAAAGGTCACATTCTGTATGTTATTATTTCAGTGCTATTTCATTTTGTTTGGGAACACCCTCATTGCTGTTGGATTTTTTTTTATTTTTTTCTTGCCTTCTTTCACTGCATAGACTGCAGATAGACTGGTGTTGGTCAGATTCCTTTCTCAGTAAATGTGAGTATTAACCCACTAACAGTAAGAACGGCAATGTGCGGAGCCAACAAAGATCGATATATTTGAATATTTAAATCTATCTGCCTCATCCCAGTGTGGCACAGATGGGCTTCCTCTGGGCCAGTCTCACACACACAAACTCATTCATATTCTCTATGTGGCTTAACCAGGGCCAACAGCACAGGGCCGTGGAACAAGGAAGCAGGTTGCTGTAGAATGTGTGACCAGGAGAAAGGTTTTTTATTTCTTTAAAATGAGGCAAACTGCTTTGGACAGGGTGGTAACTCTCACCCATGACTTTCTATGTTTTCATTCAACAATGAATGAACCCAGTTCAACGCCATAAGCATTTGTTGAGCATTTATATGCCAAGAATGGCATTAAACTCATAAGTGAAGATGAAAATGAGAGACACTTGTGGTACAACTAGCATGTTCCATAAAGTTACCTTAGTTAAGTCAGTCTCCCCACAGTCCTGCAAGTTTCATGTTATCTCCACTTTACAGAAGAAGAAAGGGTTATTCAGAGATATGAATTTAACCAAATCCACACAAGTAAATGGCAGATATCAGTTGTTTGCCTCAGTTATTACTGACCTATTAGTCATCACATTGTGAAGTCTTTAAAGAGTTCAGTCTTTTAGATGCATAATAAAAATATGAGAATGAAGATGGTAACCCAAAGGGTCCAACAGTAGACCTCAAGATTTTGCATCAAATCAGAGGGAACTGAAGGCAGTAGGAGAAGAGGGTAACGAAGGATGAGATGGTTGGATGGCCTCACCAATTCAATGGACATGAACTTCGGCAAACTCCTGGAGATGGTGGGGACAGGGCAACCTGGCATGCTATATAGTTCATGGCGTCATGAAGAGTCAGACATGGCTTGGCAACTGAACAACAATAGCAACAGAGGGAACTAAAGAAAGCTTTCTAGAATTTTTAGCCAGTGAGTAATAGAGCAAGCACATTTTTAGGAGAATCAACTGATCGTATTGTGTTGCACAAATGATAGTGGGAAAATTGGTCAGCAAGGAGGCATTGCAGATGTCTAGCTGTGACTCAATTAAAACTCAAATTAGGACAGGGTGGAGGTGGGGAGCACAGCTGAGAAAGACCTTGAGATACAATCTCTAAGACTCAGCAGGAATTAGATCTAGAAAGGGAAGTCTCAAAGAGGATCTGGGGCTTAAAGCTTGCATTTGGATGGTTTGAGGGTGGAAGGAGTCTAGCATAACAGAGCGATTTACATGCCAGAGATGGTGGAGAGCAGTTTGGGATACTCCTGCCAGGCATCTGATATAAAATTGGGAAATACGCTCATCTGACGACCAAGGAGGCTGAGGCTGATCCTGCAAATTCAGGGCTGTTTTCAGAGGGGAGGAATTTGAAACTAGAAAACAAAAGAGAGAGAGAGGGGAGGGGGAACAAAAAAAGAAGAGAACATTCTGAATTTCCAAGAGCATCATTTCCACTTGGAAAAGAGAGACCAAACTAAGGACCAGTCAGAAGGGAGGATGGGCGTGTCAGAGGCATACCTGGAACTTTTCCAGACAAAGCTGACAAATACAAACAGGAAAACAAACATATTCAGAATTAAGACCAGATAATCATGAAGGTGTGATCACTCACCTAGAGCCAGACATCCTGGAATGTGAAGTCAAGTGGGCCTTAGAAAGCATTACTATGAACAAAGCTAGTGAAGGTGGCGGAATTCCAGCTGAGCTATTTCAAATCCTAAAAGATGATGCTGTAAAAGTGCTGCACTCAATATGCCAGCAAATTTGGAAAACTCAGCAGTGGCCNTTGTCTATACTGGTGTTTTGAGAGTGGTAATAGCTTGCTTTAAAACATCCTGATATGAATCATCTTGCTCTAGTGAGGCTGCAAGTTTCAAGGGCAATGATCCAATAGGTGGATCCATGAAATCTGTTTTACTTAATATGAATGAATTAAATACTTAGTTACTACTTTTCTCTTGTAATCATATCAAATTATAGTGTTAGTCATTGTTTTTAAACATCCAATTCAATCATCTAAGATAGTCTGTTCTTTGGAGACCCTAGAAATAAATTCAACAAGATTTGGTGGGAATTAATACTATAAAACTATAAAGAAAGCTGAGCACATAATAATTGATGCTTTTGAACTGTGGTGTTGGAGAAGACTCTTGAGAGTCCCTTGGACTGCAAGGAGATCCAACCAGTCTATCCTAAAGAAGATCAGTCCTGGGTGTTCACTGGAAGGACTGATGCTGAAGCTGAAACTCTAATACTTTGGCCACCTCATGAGAAGAGTTGACTCATTGGAAAAGACCCTGATCCTGGGAGGGATAGGGGGCAGGAGGAGAAGGGAATGACAGAGGATGAGATGGCTGGATGGCGTCACCGACTCGACGGACATGAGTTTGAGTAAACTCCGGGAGTTGGTGATGGACAGGGAGGTCTGGCATACTGTGATTCCTGCAGTCACAAAGAGTCGGACACGACTGAGCGACTGACCTGAACTGAACAGATATCTTTAACAATGTGTTACTGTTGTTCAGTTGCCCAGTCATGTCCAACACTTTGCAACCCCATGAAATGCAACACACCTGGTTTCTCTGTCCTTCACTACCTCCCGGAGTGTGCTGAAACTCATGTGCATTGAGTCGGTGATGCCATCCAACCATCTCATCTTCTGTTAACCCCTTCTCCTCCTACCCTCAATGTTTCCCAGCTTCAGGGTCATTTACAATGTCAACAATGATAAATGTCTTTACAGAGAAAGCAATAAACTATTCTGAGCCTTGAGCAGAAAACAGGAGGGGAATGGGGAATGCCTGGGGAATAAGGCATTGCATTAGACTTAGAAATATGGGGAGTTTAAGACATTCAAGTATTTGAAAATCATCTTCCATGTGGAGGGAGCAGCATGGCTTGCACTTTTAGGGAAAGAACTGCTTGTAGGGGGAAGGAAGTTAGATTTCACAGGAAGTAGGCTTTTTTGAAGCAAAACAACGGGAAATGTGACCTTACAGGTTTTCTTGACATGCTTTCACCACTATCTTAATATATAAATTTTATTCAGCAGAAACTGTGGATCCACAAAAAGTGATTTTGAACCTCCCATTGGAGTAATTCTCAGTAGTTGTCCAATGTTTCATTGTTTCATCGACGAGGCACTTCACAGAAATATAATTGTGCAGACATTATCCTCCATTTCTAGTGAAAATCAGCCTAAGCACATTCAAATGACATTTGCAGGACTCAGTCTGGACAGCTGATTCCAGGCAATCTTTGGGATATTTGTTTCAAATGGACTCACTTGGGCTGGTATTGTGCTAAAGCCGTCTATATCCATAGTGACATTGAAGAGGCAGTTCCATAAACAGGCATAAGGCTGGAAAAAAGGCAGGATAAGAAAATGCTTCCCTGTTAAATGCCAGACTCATACTCAGTTTGTTCAATTCATCAAATTTTTATGTATACAAATATATATATTTTCCTACTGGCAACTAATAGCCATGTATTTTGACCAAAGTTCTACCACTCATTTCTGGTCCTGTGATATTGAGTAAAATCAGTTTGATTTCATTTGTGCATGAGTAAAATTAAAGCTTTATAACTAGATTAGAGAGCGTGCCCCTGCAATCACATCCCTTCTTCCTCTGTGTCTGCCTTCAGCTTCCTTCTCATCATCTTCCTCACATTGGTCATTCCAGATCAGTTAGAGATGAGATGTATCCATCATGCTGTTGTTGTTCAGTTCTTCAGTTGTGTCTGATTCTTCGTGACTGTATGGACTGTAGCCCACCAGACTTCTCTGTCCATGGGATTTCCCAGGCAGGAATACTGGAGTGGGTTGCCATTTCCTTCTCCAAGGGATATTCCCAACTCAGGGATAGAATGCCTTCTCCTGCATTGCAGGTGGTTTTTTTTTTTTTTTTTACTACTGGGACTTCCCTGGTGGCTCAGCTGGTAAAGAATCTACTTGCAATGTGGGAGACCTGGGTTCAGTCCCTTGGTTGGGAAGATCCTCTGGAGAAGGGAAAGGCTACACACTCCAGTATTCTGGCCTGGAGAATTCTATGGACTGTATAGTCCATGAGATCACAAAGAGTCAGACATGACTGAGCGACTTCCACTTCACTTTTTTTTTACCACTGACCCCTAGGGAAGCTATAGTCACCATACTTGGACTAAATTATCTCTAATTTTGAATCGAAGTCCAATTTTCGGATAATTACTGCTCTAGATTCAGCCCTGTAGAGAGGTGATAACAGCCCCATTTAGAAACATAAAGCAGAATCTGGCAACTGGCCAAGGGCAACTCCTTTGATCTGATCACCATTGCCTGTGCTGACAGTACCACCTCGCTTATCTCTCTCCATTGATTTGCAGACAGGTGGGCCATTCTGAATTCAACAGCTAGGTAATGTTATCTTGGAGCTGGATACTGTGGCCCCAGACTCTCCAACTGTGTTAGTTCAGTTCAGTTGCTCAGTCGTGTCCAATTCTTTGTGAACCCATGAACTGCAGCATGCCAAGCCTCCCTGTCCATCACCAACTCCCAGAGATCACCCAAACCCATGTCCATTGAGTTGGTGATGCCATCCAACCATCTCATCCTCTATCGTCCCCTTCTCCTCCTGCCCTGCATCTTTCCCAGAATCAGGGTCTTTTCAAATGAGTCAGTTCTTCGTATCAGGTGGCCAAAGTATTGGAGTTTCAGCTTCAATATCAGTCCTTCCAATGAACACCCAGGACTGATCTCCTTTAGGATGGACTGGCTGGATCTCCTTGCAGTTCAAGGGACTCTCAAGAGTCTTCTCCAACACCACAGTTCAAAAGCATCAATTCTTCGGCACTCAGCTTTCTTCACAGTCCAACTCTCACATCCATACATGACCACTGGAAAAACCATAGCCTTGACTAGACAGACCTTTGTTGACAAAGTAACGTCTCTGCTTTTCAATATGCTGTCTAGGTTAGTCATAACTTTCCTTCCAAGGAGTAACCTCCAGCATTTGAAGACTTGATTTCTTCATCTGTGAAATGGGGCTAAAATGGAGTGAGGATTCATGGGAGCTACAGAGAAAGCCAGGGCGTAACTTGTAACAAGAGCTCCACCATTGGCAGCCAGCATCACCACTGCCAGTTACCATCCAACTTACGTTTCACGTACAGGCGGCCTATCACCTTAGCAGTTCCATATCTGTTGGACACTTCACACACATAGCTGCCTGAGTCTGAGGGACGTGTGTTCTCAATAAGCAGCCCTGTCACGGTCTTCTGGAACCTTCCAGAGAGTTCCAGGGGCATGTTGTCCTTCAGCCAGCGGTAATCTGGCTCAGGGTGCCCAAGCGCTTTGCAAGGTAGCTCCACACGCTGCCCTGCCATGGCTTTGCGGTGATCAAACCCATCCAGTATGGATGGGGCTGAGTTCGCTGGGTCTGCAAAAGGAAAGGAAAACATTCTTAGATGCAGTGAAGGAGTTAAAGTGTCATTCAGAATCATAGGACCTCATACATAATTCAAATTTTATGTATAATTTCAACTACTAATACATCCTTAAGATTCCTCTGTCCATGGAATTCTCCAGGTAATAATACTGGAGTGAATTGCCATTCCCTTCTCCAGGGGATCTTTCGACCCAGGGATCAAACCCGGGTCTCTTGCATTGCAGGCAGGTTCTTTACTATCTGAGCCACCAGCCACCTGATGCGAAGATCTGACTCATTGGAAAAGACTGTGATGCTGGGAAAGACTGAAGGCGGGAGGAGAAGGGGATGACAGAGGATGAGATGGTTGGATGGCATCACCAACGCGATGAACGTGAGTTTGAGTAGGCTCCAGGAGTTGGTGATGGACAGGGAAGCCTGGTGAGCTGCAGTTCATGGGGTTGCAAAGAGTCTGACACAGCTGAGTGACTGAACTGAAATGAACCACCAGGGAAGACCATATATGCACACACACACACACACACACATGCATATGTATGAACAGAAAGAAAGCCCTATTCATATACATTCCTCTCCCTCAGAATTTTCAAAAGGTTGAAGCTGACACATCACCAAAGAAGATGTACAGATGACTGATAAGCACATGGAAAGATGTTCAGTACTGTTAGCCACTACGATTGCTGTTTTTGTTTAGTTTCTAAGTTGTATCTAATTCTTTTGGGATCCCATGGCTTGTAGTCCGCCAGTTTCCTCTGTCCATGGGATTTCCCAGGCAAGAATACTAGAGTGGATTGCCGTTTTCTTCTCCAGCGGTTCTTCTCCACCCAAGGATCGAACACATGTCTCCTGCACTGGCACATGGATTCTTTGCCACAGAGCCACCTGGGAAGCCCAGCCACTAGGGCAATGCAAATAAAAACCATGGTGAGCTACTATTTCACACTTGCTGCTGCTGCTGCTGCTAAGTCACTTCAGTCGTGTCCAACTCCGTGCAACCCTATAGACGGCAGCCCACCAGGCTCCCCTGTCCCTGGGATTCTCCAGGCAAGAATACTGGAGTGGGTAGCCATTTCCTTCTCCAATGCATGAAAGTGAAAAGTGAAAGTGAAGTCGCTGAGCTGTGCTCTTAGCGATCCCATGGACTGCCGCCTACCAGGCTCCTCCATCCATGGGATTTTCCAGGTGAGAGTATCACACTTACTAGGATGCCTACAATAAAGACCCCCATGGCAGCAAGTGCTTGTGAGGATATGGAGAAGAAAGTAGAACTTTCATGCATTGTTGACTTGAAAGTAAAATGGGGCAACCACTTTGGAAAACACTTGGCAGTTTTGTAAAATATTAAACTTCAGTTCATCACAAGGCTCAAAAGCTCCACTGTAAGAATCCACCCTAGACAAAGGAAAACCCATGTTCAATCAAACACTTTTCCACAAATGTTCATAGCAGGATTTTTCACAGGAGCCAAAAAGTTGAAATAGTTCATATTAAACAATAGGACCATTGTTTAGTAGCTGTATAAGCAAAATGTGAATATACATACATAGTAATCAGCAATATAAAAGATACATGCTATGACATGTTACTATATGAATGAACATGTTACAACAGGGATGGACCTCAAAAGATCAGGCTAAATGAAAGAAGCCAGATACAAAGCCACATATCACAGAATTTGATTTGTACAAAACACACAGAAAACACAAATCTATAGAAACAGAGAATAGATTGTAGTTGCCTGCAGCTGGGATTGAATTTGACTGGAAATGGACATCAGGAATTGATTAATCTTTCTTGTCTTTTTTGTCTAAAGTTTCACTCAGTGAATGCTTCCTTATTGATTTTCTTTTTGAATGATCTGTTCATTGATGTAAATGGGACATTAAAATCTGCTTCTATAATTGTGTTGCTGTCAATATGTCCCAATATGTCTGCCAGTATTTTCTTTATTTAAATATTTCTATGTTGGATGCATAGAAATTACCCTTCCTATAGTTTCCTTTCAGATTGATCCCTTTATCATCATGTAATATTCTTTCTTGTATCTTGTTAAAACCTTTGTTTTAAAATCTACATTTCTGATACAAGTATTGCTACAACAATCTTCTTTTTGTTTCCCTTTGACCAAATACCTGTTTCCATCCCCTAACTTTCAGTCTGTGTGTGTCTTTAGATTTGAAGTGAGTCTCTTGTTGGCAGCATATATGTGAGTTTTTTTTTGTTTAAATCCAATCAGCCACTGTATACCTTTTGATTAGAGCATTAATCCATTCACATTTAAAGTAATTATTGGCAGATATCTACTTACTACTATTTTGTTCATCGTTTTTTTTTGTTTTCATAGTTTTCTTTTAGCTTTTTCTTCTCTCTTCTCTTGTGATTTGATGACTATCTTTCGCATTATGTCTGGATTCATTTTTCTTTGCTTGTGTACCCAGTATAGATTTTTGGCTTGTACATAAATGTATTTTGGCTTGTATGTAGATTTCTATAGCTGTATATATATATATATATATATATATATATACACACACACATATATATATACACACATATACATACATATATACACACACACATATATATATACATATATTTGATTGTTTTAATTTGATGATCTTGATTATTTTAATTTGATGATCTCTTAAGTTTGAACACATTTTAAAAGCTCTCCATTTTTATTTGCCACCATTTTAGTATTTCAAGTTTATATTTTACATCTTTCTGTTTTGTGTTGCCCTCAACATATTGTGGATACAGATGATCTTACTGCTGTTGTCTTTCAATCTTTTGCTAGACTTATAATTTGTGGATCAACTACCTTTACTATATGTTTGCCTTTACCAGCCATATTTTCTTTTTCTAATTTTCATATTTCTAGATGTGGTCTTTTCTGCTTAGAGAAGTCCCTTTAGTAGTCTTTTTTTTTTTTTTGGTCTTNCCCATCAGGTTCCTCTGTCCATGGGGGTTCTCCAGGCAAGAATACTGGAGTGGGTTGCCATTTCTTCCTCCAGGAGATCTTCACAACCCAGGGATCGAACTCAGATCTCCTGCATTGGAGGTGGATTCTCTACCATCTGAGCCACCAGGGAAGGTTTAGTGGTGGTGAAATCTTTTAACTTTTGCTTATCTGTAAAACTACTTATCTCTCCTTTGTAGAATAATCTTATTTTATTTGTTTTTCTTTCATCACTTTAAATATATTACGACACTGCTTTCTGGCCTGCAAAGTTTCTGCTGAAAAGTCTGTTGATAGTCTCAAGGGAGTTCTTTTGTACTTAAGTAGTTCTTTTTTCCTTGCTGTGTTTAGGATTCTCTTTATATCTTTAATTTTTGCCATTTTAATTATAATGTGTCTTGGTGTGGATCTCTTTGGTTCATCGTTTTATGTGTGTGTGAGAGTAATCCTCTGCTTCCTGGACCTGAATACTTGCTTACATTCCCTGGTTAGGGAAGTGTTCAGCTATTATTTCTTCCAATAATTTTTCTGCCCCTTTCCTTCTCTGTTTTCCTTCTGAGATCCCTATAGTGTATAAGATAGTAAGTGTGATTATCCCCAGGTCTCTTAAACTGTCTTCATTTTAATTTCTTTTTCTGTTTTCAGTTCAACTTAGGAGCTTTCCACTACTCTGTCTTCCAGTTCACCGCTCTGTTTCCCTGCTTAATCTAATCTACTGTTGATTCCTTCTAGTGTATTCTTCTGTTTAGTAATCATAGTCTTCAGCTCTGTTTGGTTCTTCTGCTTTCTAACTTGCTATTAGACTTCTCATCATGTTCATCCATTCTTCTCTCAAGTTCATTGAGCACCTTTGTGATCTTAAGCTTGAGTTTTTTCAGTTAGGGAGATTGTTATCTCCTTAGTTCTTCTTCTGGAATTTTATCTTGTTCTTTTATTTGCAAAATACTCCTCAGTTGCCTCATTTTGCTGAATTCTGTTTTTATTTCTGTGTGTTATGTATATCACTTACATATCCCAATTTTGAGGAAGTGGCCTTATATTGGAAATGTCCTATGGGGCCCAGCAGCACACTCTTCTCTATTTACCAGTGCCAAGAGCTCTAGGGGAGCCCCTTATATGGACTGCAGGGACCCTTCAGTTGTGGTGGGGCTGACTACTGAGAGTGGCTGGTAGGCAGGGATGGACCCCATCCTGGTTGGCTGGCAGGCCCTGCTTCATGTAGCGGCTGCTGCCCTACTGGTGGGGGGTGGTGGGGGGTGGGGCAGGGTGCTGGTTTTCCATGCAATGGGCTGCTAGCCTTGGGATGGTGTTGGTCCAGGGGTTGCTGTCCAATTGTCTAATAGGCAGGTAAACCACCAGCACTAATGAGCAAGAGGGAAGACTCCAAAATGGCACTTGCCAGCACTAGTGTCCTCATGATGGAATGAGCTCTCCAAAATTGCTTCCCCCAATGTCTATATCACTGGTGAAAAACAGATTATGGCATCCAGTCCCATCACTTCATGACAAATAGAAAGGGAAAATATAAAAGTAGTGACAGATTCAATTTTGTTGGCCTCCAAAATTACTGTGGATGGTGTCTGCAGCCATGAAATTAAAAAGGTGCTTGCTCCTTGGAAGGGAAGCTATGACAGACCTAGACAGAGTATTAAAAAACAGAGATATCACTTTACCAACAAAGTCTGCATAGTCAAAGCAATAGCTTTTCCAGTAGTCATGTATGAATTTGAGAGTTGGACCAAAAAGGACTATGGTGCTCGAGAAGACCCTTTGAGAGTTCCTTAGGCTGAAAGAAAATCAAACCAGTCAATCCTAAAGGAAATAAACCCTGAATATTCATTGGAAGGACTGATGATGAAGCTGAAGCTCTAACACTTTGGCCACCTGATGTGAAGAGCCAACTCATTGAAAAAGACCCTAAGGATGGGAAAGATTGAAGGCAAAAGGAGAAGTGGGAAGCAGAGGATGAGATGGTTGGATAGCATCACTGACTCAGTGGACATAATTTGAGCAGACTCTGGGAGATGGTGAA